GAAGGAAGGAAGGAAGGAAGGAAGGAAGGAAGGAAGGAAGGAAGGAAGGAAACTATCTTTGTTTGCAAATGATGTAATTTTATATATAGAAAATCGTAAAAGATGCTACCCAAAAAACCCTGCTAGAACCAACAAATTCAGTAAAGTCAAAGGATACAAAAATAGATATACATACAGAAATCATATAGAAAACAATTGTGCTTATATACATTAACAATAAAATGCCTGAGAGAGAAATAAAGGAAATAATTCCATTCACGATAATATAAAAAAATATATATTCATAAATAAATTTAATCAAACAGATGAAAAGTTGTACACTAAAAACTAACAAGACTATGATGAAAGAAAGTGAGGAAGATAGAATGGGAAAATATCCCATGTATAAGGATTAATACTGTCAAACTGTCCATTCTATTTAGAATCTATAGATTAAAGGCAACCACTGTCAAAATGACCTATTTTACAATCTTAACATGTGTATGGAACCACAAAAGACTCCAAAATGAGGCAATCTCTCATTGTGATTTTGATTTGCATTTCCCTTATAAAATAAGGGAAATTTCTTCTCCAGAAAAAGTATCTATACTGGTCTTCGGCCCATTTTATTTTATTAGTTTGTTATTTTTGTTTTGGGCTTCTATAAGCTCATTCAAGATCTTGGAACTAAATCTCTCCTTGGATGTACAAATATCCTGTCCCACACCACAGGTTGTCTTTTTATTTTTTTTAAAGAGTTATTTATTTAAGCATACAGAACTGGGGTACAAAGCAGAGGTGCAGGGGCGGTGAAAGGATTCACCAGAGACAGAGTGGGGAGCAGAACAGGCAGATCCAGGTAAGGGGAGCAGAGGGTAGGTCAGGAGATGTCTGCAGCGCCATGTGGATCACCTCCAGGGCCGGGGATGCGAAGTGGCTTTAGCTTCTTAGTGCTGTGCTTTAACCCGCTGCACCACCAGGGAGGGCCCCCATTGTATTTTTTAAAATTAACTTTATTAAGACATAACTCACATGTCACAAAATGTACTATTTTCATACAGCCATCATTACTATCCAATTTTAGAACATTTCATCAGCCCAAAATGAAACTCCAGATCCATTAGCACTCACTCCCATCTCTCCACCCCACAATATCTGGCAATACAAAGCTAATCTATTTTCTGTCTTTATGGATTTGGTTAATTTTGACATTTTATATGAATGGAATCCCATAATATGTTAGCTTTTGCATCTGTCTTTCCTCACTTAACCATGTTTTTAAGCTGTAACCATGTTGCGACATACACATCTCCAAAATGTCTTTCTATTTTTTAGTGTCAAACAGTACACTGTATGGATATGCAACATTTTCTTTTTTTTCTTTCTTTCTTTTTCTTTTTTTTTAAGATTTATTTATTTATACAGAACTAAGGTATAGGCCAGAGATGCGGAGGGTGAGAGGATTCACCAGAGACAGAGAGGGGAGCAGAACAGGCAGAAGTACTGAAATACACAGCTGAGGGGAGCAGCGTGCTGGTCAGGAGAGGTCTGCTGTGCCATGTGGATCTCCTCGGGGCAGGCGGGAATCGAACTCATATGGAAGTGGCTTAAGCTTCTCAGTGCTGTGCTTTAACCCGCTGAGCCACCAGGGAGTGCCCGCAACATTTTCTTGAGACATTAATCAGTTAGATGTCTGGGTTGTTTCTACTCTTATGGATAATATTGCTATGAATGTTCGTTTACAAGTTTCTGTGTGTACATGTTTTCAGTTCTCTTGAGTATATAGCTACGAGTGGAATTCAAAAAGGTGGCAAAGTAATTCATTTTCTCCAGAAATCTGGGTATTCTTTGATAATGGCTCCCTCTTGATTTTGACATGATTGAGTTCTCAAAATTTTTATCTTCCCTGCTACCTAAGGCATAAGGAGTTTCATAATTGTTTGAATGACTTTAAATAGAAAAGGAAACACATTTAGTATTTGGAAAGGACACCAATGAAGATTTCAAACATGTCTGTGTACAGAGTAGGACCCATATGAAATAACTAATTAGATCTTTTTTTTTAAGATGTATTTATTTATGCATACAGAACTGGGGTACAAGTCAGAGGTACAGGGGTGGTGAGAGACTTCACCAGAGACAGAGTGGGGAGCAGCAGGTGGGTCAGGAGAGGTCTGATCCTCTATGTGGATCACTTCCGGGGCCAAGGATCGAGCTCGCACTGAAGCAGCTGCAGCCAGCTTGCAGTGCTGCGTCCTAACGCACTGGGCCACCAGGAAGGGCCTAATTAGATCTTCTTCTTAAGAATCCTACCAAAATATACTCCTGTAAGTCCTCTACAAAATAACAGACTTCTCAACAAAGCAACAGACTCCAAAGCTAAAAGTTAAATACTTCTGTGCAACTGGACAAATCTCTTTTGGTTAGAACAATAGTTCTCAAACTGTGGTTGACTGACCTTTTCAGGTATTGTTGAGGCCAAACTATTTTTGTAATACTAAGTTCTTTTAAAGTTTATTCACTGTATTGACATGTGTACTAGTGGCGCAAAAGCAATGGTAGGTACAATTGTTGGCACCTTTGAGGAATCAAGGCAGTAGCTATCAATGGTATTATGTCATACTACAGTCCTTTTTCCTCACTACCAGATGTGTGTGCATCTGTGTGTGTTTTAAAAAAGCTAGTTTCACTTAACAATGCCTTTGATGAAACAATAAACTCTTAGTTGTATTAATTTCAACTTTTAAGAACACATCTTTTTAATATGTTCTGTAACAAAACATAAATTTGCATTAAAAAATTTTACTATTACTTCAGTGTTATGATTGTGCCAAGAAAAACATTTGTGTGATTGTTTTAAGTTGTTATTTCAACCAGACAGTCTTGCAAGAAACATTATTTTTACTTAAAAAGAACTGATAAGGCCCTCCCTGGTGGCTCAGCGGGTTAAAGCACAGCTCTGAGAAGCTAAGGCCACTTCCGCATGAGTTCGAGCCCCGCCTGCGCCGGAGGTGACCACATGGTGAGGCAGACCTCTCCTGACCCGCCCGCTGCTCCCCTCAGCAGTGTGCTTCGACCATCTGCCTGTTCTGCTCCCCTCTCTGTCTCTGGTGAATCCTCTGCATCTTTGGCCTATACCCCAGTTCTATATGAATAAATAAATAAATCTTCGAAAAAAAAAGAACTGACAAGTAAACAACTGTTTTTCAAAAATGAGTAAATTAGCCCTGTCAGAGAAGTGAGCTCATCTGTTTATTTCTAACATAACATAACATTGTTGAACTTCGTAAACAAAAGCCTTTCTAGGTTCTTATTAAATTTTCAGAGTATAGGACTGAAACCAAACTAATTGACAACTACTGATTTAAAAGATATTCTAGGCCCTTCCTTGGTGGTGCAGCGGATTAAAGCACAGCACAAAGAAGCTAAAGCCACTTCTGCATGAGTTCTATCCCTGCCCCAGAGGTGATCCACATGGCACAGCAGACATCTCCTGACTCGTCCCCTGCTCCCCTCAACAGTGTACTTTGTCAGTTGATCTGTTCTGCTCCCTATTCTGTTTCTGGTGAATCCTCTCACTTGCCCTGTACCTCTGGCTTGTACCCCAGTTCTGTATACATAAAGAAATATTTTTTAAAAAAAGATATTCTATAAACTATGGGGTCAAATTGGGACACATTAAGATGTCATGTAGTAATTTTAACAATTTGTCCCCAAACATTCTCTGTTTTTCTATTCCCACCACCATATTATCTATGCACGACCACTTTAAGTCATCTGTTCCTTAGAAAAAAGCCAGTTGATTTATTAATGGCGTTTACCTGAGATAACTGGTTAACCAGCTGTGCC